GGGATTACTGAGCTCCAGGCTGGGATTACTGAGCTCCAGGCTGGGATTATTGGGCTCCAGAAACTGAGCCGTGCGTTTCCCTGCCCAAACCCTCGCTGAGCCCTGACTGTCATCTGTCCCCACTAATAGAGGACCTGACCCTGGACCCCGACTCCGCCAACCACCTGCTGATCCTCTCGGCTGACCTCAAGAGCGTCCGCATGGGCTGCAGGAAGCAGGAGCTGCCCGACAACCCCAAGCGCTTCGACACCAACTCGCGCGTCCTGGCCTCCACGGGCTTCAAGTCGGGGCGGCACTACTGGGAGGTGGAGGTGGGGCCCTCGGACGGCTGGGCCTTCGGCGTGGCCAAGGAATCCATCCGGAGGAAGGGGCTGACTCAGTTCTCCCCCGAGGAGGGCATCTGGGCCGTGCAGCAGAACGGGGGCCGCTACTGGGCCGTGACGTCGCCGCAGCGCACGCCGCTGTGCCTGGGCGGCCGCAAGCTGAGCCGCGTCCGCGTCTACCTGGACTACGAGGGCGAGGAGGTTTCCTTCTACGACGCCGAGAACATGCAGCACATCTTCACCTTCAACGTGGCCTTCCAGGAGAAGGTGTTCCCCCTGTTCTCGGTCTGCTCCACGGTCACCTACATCAAGCTGTGCCCCTGAGGCGCCGCGGGTTGGGACGAGCCTCTTCCTGCTCGTGCCTATCTCCAGAGTGAGAAAAAGGATCTCCAGAACCCCTTTTCCAACTGATTTTGGTGCTCAGGAGCCCGAGCACTCCCAGCCCTCCCTCCCGGGCTCCTGGGTGAGATCAAAAAGACTCAAATCAGGCTGGTTTGGGGGGACATGGGCTGAGGGGTGGGCAGGGACGTGGTCGGGAGGGTGTCACAGGGAGGGTCTTCAGGACAGGTGGGAGCAGAGAGACGTCCAGCAGTGCCCAGAAATTGTGGTGGCCTTAAAGGAAGGTTGTGGTCACCAGCTTGGAGGCTGTGGCCACCAACTCAAAGACTGTGGTCACCAAATCAAGGATTGTGGTCAACAACCACAGAGACAAACAGAAATTAAAAAAAAAATCAAGTCAGAAATTTCCTCGTTCCTTCTCCCACCCAGGGAAATAATTTTCCCCCAAAAGCTGTTTTTTGGGTGTTGTGAGAATTGTCTGAGCAGCCTCAGGTGACCACTGTCCACCACTGTGGAGGAGCCTGTGTGGCTTTGTCTGCTCTCCCTGGTTTTCCACCCACAGCTCCTCTGGAAAAGGTTAAAAGGTGCTTTTTTGGTTTTTTTTTTAGTGATGGTTGTCCTACTGGACCTGAGCAAGACCCACATTTGTCCTTCTGGTGCTCCCACGCTGAGGCTTTTCCGTGGACAGGACATTCACAAAATTTCCCTCGTGGATCTCACGCCTTGCGTGGATTTAGGTGCTCAGTCTCGTGTTCCCTCAGGTTCTCAGCAAAATCACCTGTTTATCCTCATTATTTGTGGGTTTTTTTCCCCTGGAAACCCTCGGTCTCTGCCAAGGAGCTGATGCTGAACTTGCATTTGCTTCATCCCCTCTGGTTTTGCCAAAAAAAAAAAAGAAAAAGAAAAAAAAAGCAGCTTTAAAAAAATAATAATCAGTGTCTTGTTGCCTGAAGTCTTGGTAAAGGGTATGGGGTTGGTCAAATCTGGAGCCTTTAAAAAAAAAAAATGTTTCAGAAATTACACACTTGGGGCAAATGGGAGGTAGCTTTATTTGATCAGGACAACATTTCCTGGGTGGTTTGAGAAGGGAAAAAACAGAAATTACCAAAATTTTCAGCTGTTGGGTTGGTTCCTACCCAAGATTCAAATTTCTGTTGTTGAAATTGTGTTTGATTTGGTTTGGAACTGCCCGCATTATTCTTAGCCCATGTTTGGGAAATAAAACGTTTTAAAATAAGTTATTTAAAATAAAAATAACATAATATAATATAATATAATATAATATAATATAATATAATATAAAAGAAAAAAAGAAGGAAATAAAGAAGGTATTAATATATATTTGTATAACTATGTATCATAATATATATATGTGTTATGTGTTGGGGTGAAGGCATATATAAAAATTATATAATACAATACAATATAAATAATATAATGGAATTCATATATATATTTTTGTATGTAATTTTTGTGGGGTTTTGTTCCACATTTGTTAAGCACAAACCAAATATCTTGAA